TTAAGTTTTGCCCCAGTCTGGCTGGTAGACAGGGTTAGCCAGAGATACCCTTACTACTCAGTACTAGTTTCACTCCTTATCTATGATGCTGAATGTTAATCTAGGACACAATCAATTTATCTGAAATGGTAACCGGACTGGAACTGTCAACGATCTCTCTTCAGCCGTAGTCCAAGCCACCCCATTCTACGTTTTGTGTCTCGACATCTTTGCCCCTGCGAATGGAAGGACTGTGTCAAGTTTCACAACAGAAACGGACTCCTATTGAAAGCCCTCAGTACTAACCACTCTTTCACTTGAACGCGTAGGTAGATGGTTTCTTATGGCTTAAAAATAGAAGCCAGCAGCCAGGGGTGTCGAGGCCAAATCCTACCTCTCCCAGTAGCTACAATTGAGAATCGTGACGCTGATCCAATTGTAAACTTGTTTCAGATGCAGTTGCTCCTGCAATGAGGCTTAATGGGAGTGAGACTTGACTTCCTCCCTTCCATCTCCTCAAAGCAGTTCTCATAAAACTGACCAACTCTTCCAAAAGCCTCATCCCTACCCATGAGATGGTAAAAGCAGTGATACAAATACAATCACTAAGCAATATTCCCTCAGGTTTTCTCCCATAGTGCCACATTTCCTACATCTGCCTCAATATAAAGTGAAATCTACAGCAGAACAAGCAAGATACATACAAGAGTGTGAAAAAAGCAGCTTTAAAATTTTTAAAGGCAGCACAATGCATTCCAGCTGTCAACGTAGTCTACATGAATAACAGCAATATTTTATAACATAAAGACACATTAGTGCAATCCAAAGGGAAGGTAACATAGATGAAGGACAGAGATCTTAAGATAAATACACTCAACCCAAAGAACAATCAAAGGAAGTTCTATCACATAACACTGAAATGCAGGAAAGGCACAATTTTTTTTAAGTGTTCCTGCTCTCTACATTCCTTTCCAGAGCTGCTTGTGCATGTATAAATGGATAGGGAAAAAAAGGAAGGGTACAAGTCTGCTGAAGGAGATGCATAAAAACAAAAAAAAGGATCTATATGTATTAAGACAGTAAGCAGCCTCAGTATATACAATATTGCATATATTGAGTGACAAGGCTTGGGTATTAAATTAAAAGCTGGAAAGGAACTGGCAACTCTTCCTATCCATTTTCTCCAACAATAACAACAACAACAAAAGTGTTCTGGTATATATAGTATTGAACGTTAGTGCACTTTTAAAATTATACTAGTAAATAAAGGTGCATTTATAAAACATATTTCAGTCTAAAGGTGTGTATTGCAAGAGGTCTGTATGTTAATACTGATAACAGGAAGAACGGAAGTCGCTAAATAACACTGCCAATGGATGCTAACATATTGTGTGCTATAGGAGCTTGGCCATCTACCCATCTTTTTTTCTAGAGCTTCAACGTTTTGCTTGGTGGGAAAGTGGGAGATGATATGGTTATCTCTCTATATACTTCTCCTTGCAAATAAACTCCACTCTTAAAAAAAACCAGATGCCCAGAAATGATATACTATTTGATAGTTAACCAATGAAAAATTCAGCTAACTTAGAACAGACTGGAAAAAAAGAGATGCAATGTAGCCCTTATTTTCTAAGCAATTTAACAAATTTTGGGATGATTGTTACTAAATAGCTGGCTTAAAATGATGAAATATAGATTAATAATATCAGTGAATGCAGCCTAAGATGTGAGGATGTCTTTGCAAAAAGAGTCTACAGAATTTATCAGCCCTCAGAAAATCCACAATGGTGTGATCTTTTGGGCATATTTGTACTAACTAGACAATATATCAAAAGGAAGGAAGGAAATTCTATCTAGCAGTTCCCTGCCTGGTTGCATATATGAGCTCATAGGCTATTTTATATAGGAGACTTTACTGAAGTCTCTCAACATAAAACACCTAGCTTTATGTCACAAGTAATGTGAAACAGCCGATCACTTGAAATTGTTAAATTATTTTCCACAAAAATTTTCCACAGCTTTTCTTACACTATGCCTCTTGCAGTTTGATGTTAACCAAATCTGCTTTTCCCTGATCGCCTTCAGTTCTCTAGTTGCCCAAATGTCTTCTGAAAATCCAGCTCAAACTGGGCAATCATTTGAGAGAAAAAAATGCTGAACTAATTAGGTATATTTTCATACACAAAATTAGTCCATCTTGAATTATATTCCAGCTTCAGGCTTTCAGAATCCAAACTGAAAGTTTAATTAGTTTTCTGGCAGAAAGGCAACTTCAGACATCAGTACATGAGGCCAGGACTACCATGTAGATGGCCTGAAGCTCATTATAAGGTAAAGACTGTCTGTAACCTTTATGCAAAAATGTAAGACTGAAAAAAAAAATCTCCTAGCTAAGGAGCAATGTCTCCTGCTGCTTCTGTAAAACAAGGATAATTGAGATGAGCAACCCATTGTCAACTGTCTTAATAAGGAAGCAGCAGCCTACAGTTTCTCCATCCATGTAAATTATATAACAAAGAATTCATATCAAACATTCCTTTCCCAGAAATATGGACAATGTTTATTGTGCTCATAACCCAATATTGAAATGAAATATGTCCCTCCAATGTATTTTAATGGCTAATTAATGGTTAATATTTTCAACCTGATATGCCTACCCTAAAGATACATTCGAGAATGCATTAGGAAATATTAAATATTTGGTGTGCTAGCAGGTTACCAGCATTCATTTCCTAGAATTCCTTAAGTTTCCAGTATCTAACTGGAATTCAGATTTAACTGATATTTCATACATTAAAGATCGCAATTAATAGGAAAAAACACAACAGATATATCTTAGCCATGTCCTGTTTAGGAGACGTACAGGTATGAAAGAAAAAAAAAATTGCAACAGGAAAAATACCTAATTATAAAATATAACAAAATAGAATCCAACTTTTAACACAACTCCATTAGAGATTTTTTTGAAGCTCTTTAAAAACCTTGATGTTGCAAATAGTGTTATAAGAAATGTTTCAAATAAAAAGTGTAGACTAGTTTGAAGATCCTACATGATTTTTCCTTTAAATTATCTTAGCCAGAAAGCCTGCATATGGCAATAAATTACACAGCTCCTGAATTCAACAAAGTCAGCCATACTTGACTCCTTCAGAAATTAAGGATACTGTACTTATTTATATGCAACTAATATCCCAATAGGAAATACCAGCCGCTAACTCTCTTTGGCTTTCTTGATATTTGATTTTCATTTTTTTTAACTTACAGAAATGCATGCTCTACTCTCTGGACATCAAAATCAATGAAATATTAAAATTACAATGCCTTGAAGCTTAAAAAAATTAAACTTTGCATCAGACATCACTTCGGTGCAAGTAGATCTGAACTAGCCAGACTGGGGAAATAAAATCAAGGTGCTTTCATGAAAAGTGAAAAATATAAACGATTAATTAAAAATATGAAATAAAGTTGAATAAAAACCTCAATAACAACTCATCAAGAAGGAGAGCTAGTGAAGAGACTGAAAGTTGAAAAAGAAGAGAAGATAGATCTGTTTATGAAAACATACATTCAAGTTTTTTTTCAGGCAAGACTAAATAATCAGGTTTCATTAGATTACCATAATAGTTGGCAGGAAAAACATATTCAGACATGAGTTTTGTTCTGCTTTTGCATACAAAAGCACAGAACTAGCCAATTAAGAATGTTAGACTTTCTATATAACTTGATCAACTCAACAACTATAACTCTCGAAAGAGTAAGTACTGTATAGGCTTTACCAAAACAAGTTTAATCAACAAAATCTGATTTTTTTGCATCAGCACAAAGGGCATGGTGACTATCTAGTAAATTTGCTTATAAGTGTAAAAGCCTACCAAGGAAATTAGCCTTACATTGATTATTAAGTGATTTTTCTGCAGATGGGATGACATCTGGCCTACTTTATCAAATACTGGAACCATACTACAGAAGGACCAATAGCATTACATTTTATTTTTTATCACCTTTACATGAGTGGATTTCAAAAACTCCTTTCATGTGCTTAGATGGTAATGAATTAAAAACAAGTATTTTTAAGTCAAAAAAGTATTGTGCACAGTATAACTGTATTAACAAAAATGAGGGGAATAATATCCATGCCTAAACAAATATGGTGATCAAATTCAGATGCGTTCAGTTCAGAAAGAAAAACAGGACTGTTACCTGCCTTTGACCAAAGAGCTGAGGCTCTTGAAATATTCTTAATAAGTCAACATAAGCTATGTTTAGAAAAACATAAAGCAAAAGAATCTCTCTACTGAAGTCTTCAATAAAACCTCCATCTACAGGGAACTGTTTAACTTGAGTTAATCCCAAAGATTAATTTGAGAAAATGTGATAGCTCAGAAACCACAATTCATAACTTGCAGAATCAGAGAAATACTAACCCTGCTTCTGAAAGAGCCATAACTGCACAGGCATGAAATAGCACGTAGCACAACAGGTTAGCAAGTTTACGTATCAGAATTATCTTGACTACCTGAAGACATCGGTGCCAATGTCAAATGAATTTAATCCTTCTTACTGTCCTATCAAAAACACTCCTCAGTAATGGGAGGGCAATATTTTTTTGAAGCAGCAGTGGTTAAAAGCATTTAAACAATCAACCAGATAAAGCCAAAAGAAACAAAGTAAGAGCAGCATAAAATAATTTCGTGAACATGTCTCATCGGGTTCTTACAATGTCTGCCAGCATGTCTATCTAATCTTTGCAAATAATGTTACACGTTTTTCTATATAGCACTGTTGCAAATTACATTACCCAATTCAAACAAATCAAATTAGTGTGAAAAAGAAAAGAGGCATATTTCTTTCAATACACTGGTAGCCTTGGGAAGAATGCAATACCGTTTAACAATGGGACAAGTTAAATTTGTTTTCATCCATTATTGGGTTTTTGTTAAGAGATGACAATTGCATATGAAAGGGGGTATGGGAAAATTCCATTAATACCCTCCAGTAGGTGTTTTTTTCAACATTTTGGCACATTAAAAGACAAAAGGAAGACTCCAGAAAAGAAAATAGTTAAAAAGAAAAAAAAAAACCTCTTCTGGAAATGAGACATGAAGAGACAATACTGAAAGAATGCTGGCTAAGTTTTCCTGAAATACAGTCACTTATAACAGAAGTAGGTCTTGATTCCAGGATGGCTTCCATTCAAAAGGCAAGGCAAGGACTCTTTCTACCTTGCTGTGGCTGGCTGGACATGGCCCGGATAAGCTCTCCTTGTGCTCGTGGCTTGCCTTTGTCTAGCTAGGAAAGACTGTCCTGAACCAGTACTAGCAAGTCTGTCTTCTACTGCTTTTTTATGAAGAGTCATCCCCTATAGAGAGAAAGAGATGAAAAGAAAAGGCATGTAGTTTTAGTGTGGGAAGCTGACAGGGCTGTACTACTTCTTTGCCAAACCTATTAAGTCACTCCACTGAACTGTTTCCAATAAAAGGGAGTACAGGTTTTCTTGGATTAAGCGGATGGTCTTAGATATAATTTATACCAGTTTCATCCCACTTTCAGAAGAGAGAATGTTTTGGTCACCCTGGGGAAGCTCCCTTATGTCAAAAAACAGGCAGGGAAATATAACCCTCCTGATTCTCTTGAAGGTCCTGTATATCAACCATGGTCCTTTCTGATTTGCTGATTCTAAATTGGGTGCCCTCTTACAACAGTTCTCTTTGGTTGCTTTCAAAAGTGGACCTCTGTTCTGAGACAACAATGTCAAAGGGTTCCTCAGTGTTCGTTTTAATTTTCCATGCCAACTCCATGAAACTGCTGGGGAGGCAGTGACACAGGATGCGGGATGAACTGTCTCAATATACAGACAATACTTTGCTTTACATTCCTTTACACCTTGAGGCTGCATTGAAGCGGAAAAAGATATCCTCCAAAACTGAGTATTATAAAGGGAACCATGTTCTTCAAACTATTAAGATACCGGGTGACACATCACTTTTGAAGTCTGAATGTCAATTTAGTTCTGAAAAACATACTACAGAAGTGAAGCAATTCATTAAACTTTGCTGATGCTCCTTATTTTACAATCTGAACTCTACTTACCATATTGTACCAGGCACTGACAATGTATCTCTCCTCCATTTCTCTTTGACTCTTTGTCTTTTCATATTCTTTCTATTGGTGGGGAAAAAAAGTATTTCTCATGATTTCACATGCTAACTATAATGGAGTATACTGTGCTCAGCGTTCAGCTGCGTATTTTTATTTCTGTTGTGTGGAATGGTGGCAAATTGTGGAATTTTAAATTATTCATGAAATTGTATCCGGTTATTAATTTTCATCATGGAAGCTCGCATTTCCAATTAAGAGCCCAGGGCAAAAAAACATAATAGTTGTCTCTCGTGCTTAGTGTAACTGCCAAGAAAATTTCAATTGTGTGTGTTTTTACTTGAGGTAAGACCTACTGATTTTGAGCGGGGCTTAATTTGGTTTAAATGTGCACAGGATTTCATAGGAAATTACCTCTAAGGAATGGAACATCCTCTCACGTTCCTGCAGTTGATTCTTCAGTGCCTGAATTTCAGGTGCTGAACCTTGGTTCTGTTTGGGATCTAAAGTACGGATGACCTGCCAAAGTAAGAAACACATGCTACGTAGGTAGCTCCAAATAGGAACACAAGAAGTTGAATACTTGTTCATCTAGTCCAGAACCATCTGTCCTGATTGGCACAGCTATCCAGGGTCTTGGACAGGAAAAGATCTAAGCAGGTGACTGCCAGATTCAATCTAAGATCTTGTGCATGCCCAAGTTGTGTTGCATTACTGAGACAGTGTATCTTTGGCAAGTTATTTAGAATTGCTTAAGTTTACAGAGTCTACAACACATCCAGAAATATATAGATTTTAGTTTTAGATGAATTATGAACAGCATAAGCATCCTACCACAAGGTACAATTTTATTAAAAATACTCAATTTAAATACTTGGGGACATATGAAGAACCTAACCTAGATTTCTCTTCCTAGTATTTCTCTTCCTTCATATTGCTATGAATATATATTAGGGATGGAAGAGAAGAGAAGAGAAGAGAAGAGAAGAGAAGAGAAGAGAAGAGAAGAGAAGAGAAGAGAAGAGAAGAGAAGAGAAATTGGCTACCAAAGATGTGAGCTTGAAAGTCTTTTTTCATAAAAACGAAAATCATCATTATTATCCCTCCAAGGGGTAACTCTTTGTGTGGAGTGCCTGCATGCTCTAGTGATGCTGTTGAACAGATACCTGACAAAGAAAAGCCTTAAATTTTGGACAAGTTGATGGGGAAACAAGAGAAGTCACAGTAAGAATGCATCATGAATCAAGCAAGTTGAGAACAGACAAAGTACCCAGTATGGAAGACATTAGTATAACTGAGAAAATGCCTTGTGAGCTAAGATAGAATGGCAAATGATGGCTGACCTAGAATCTCTCACCAAGATTCACAGCAAAGGGAAATCTGTTTTTTCACACTCTACCCTTACAATATACCTATACTGTGATTGCCGGCTCTCATGTTTCTCCTCTCTTTTACAATGAATCTTCAAAACAAGTAATTCCATATTTGATTGAATATATGTTTTAAGATCTCCTGCTTGGAATTCTCACTGAACAAACAGTAGCACATCCCGAGATAAATTCTGCTCAATCCAGCAGTTGAAATTTTGATTGTTAAATGTGGCAGGTGCAAGGGAAGATTACCTTCAAGGCCCATTCCTCATTCAGCACTTAATGGAATTAACAAAAGATACAAGGTTGTGCAGCAAATGGTGATAGAGGTATAGTAAATAACAAAAGCTGGAAGTGACAGTTCACAAATAAATTATCTTGCCATTCAATGATTAATATCAGTATCAATATCAATATAATTACAGTATATTAATAAGAAATTGGACTCTTCACCGATTTCTCATGGTAGTCAGCATGTTTGGATTAGAAATTCTATTTGTTTTATAAATGTGTTAAATACAGACACAAGCATAAACACACATTTATATCTATCCAGTCATCTTGGGTTTTAATTTAGTATTTTGAAAATAGGTTCGAATGAAATAATAAGACAATGTAACATAAAGCAGTCAGAGCTGCAATTCAGAGACTAATTATTAGCTATTCTACATTATGTTAGCACTATTTGACTATCTGTCAAAGTTGTAGAGGGAGGACAATGTTAGAAAAACATGAAATGCTTACACTTTTAGCCTTTTCCAAATATTTTTTGTATCGTTCTTCCATTTGTTTCATGTCTTCTTCTTTTTTACATAAAGCTTCTTGCAATTCTTCTATTTTGAGTGCTTTATTTAGAGAAGATGTCACATTTCAGAATAATGCAAAGATTTAAGAATTTTGAGATGTTAGACATACTAAACAGCAGATTAAATCAGATTAAATACAATGAAGAAACATAAACATTAGAATATATATTTGAACGTAACTACAAGGAATTCTAAAAACTGGGTGAAGGTAGAACAGGACACTTCTGTTTCTGATTACAAATTAGAAGTGGGTGGCATCTGCATTAAGCAAATACGTGTGTGGAAGCCTTGCCTTAAATGTTTATGTAGTTAAA